TTACGTTTTCACAACCTCCTCCTCCCTCGTACACAGGGTGGCGCACGTGTTACCCTTCGCTCCTCTGCAGATGTGGTACAACTGCACTTGTCTCGGTTTGGGAAATGGACTGGAGTTAGCGATGGTGTGAAGCTGGTGGTTTCCTTTTGGAGTACATTTCCTCCGGAAAAGATGTCTGATATAGGGGTTCGAGATCAGTGAATTATCGACAAACGGAAAATTCAGAAAATCATGCTCTGTTTTTTTATTATAGAAATAGTGCCAAAGTAAGCTTATTAACATTTTGCTTAATCTAATTCTATACGTACTCGTTATGCATATAACCTGCATATTACATGTAATTAAGAGCTTGGTACCTGACGTACACAGCTGTGGAGATATGAACGCACTTTATCAAGGGAATAAACCATTTTCACCTTCATGAACCGTACGGGAGACTCATCTAACCGCTATTTGAGAAAAGACAAGATCACTCAAATATGATTTATTTATCAAGATATTGATAATACTGCTGGCAATAATAATGACGATAACAGTAGTTGATGATAGGAATACAGATAATAATAATATTCATATTAATAATGATAAGGATGACAACAATAATGATGAGGATGATAATAACAATAATTATGATACAGTTAATAAAAACAATAGTAGTACAATGATAGTAAAGATAATGACGATAATATCTGAAATAAGTCAATAAGAATTACAGTTATGGTGATGAAAATAAAAACGAGGATGATAATAATGACCATAGTAACAATAATGATAATAATAGTGATAAGGAGAGTAATGGCAAACTAAAATGGAAGAAAATGCTTGGTGTTAATGTTGTTTGAGCTCAGTGGAAATTCTGAGATTTGGTTTGACAAGTGACAGAGATTACCAAGGCAGTCTTTGGGCGGGAATATTTAAAATTCACACGAAAGACGTCAGGAATAATTTTCGGCGGCAATTTTTAAAAAGCCTACTGCTTTTTCACGGGCAATAAAAATAGTGTGGCCTTGCTGATGAGTAATAATAATAGCAATGATGATAATGATAATAATAATGTTTATGATTATATATATATATATATATATATATATATATATATATATATATATATATATATATATATATATATACATATATATATATATGTGTGTGTGTGTGTGTATATATGTGTGTGTGTGTGTGTGTGTGTGTGTGTGAGTGGGTGG